TGTTCATGGGCAGCGGTAATCACTTATTATCAAGTAAACCGTACGCTCGTTTGCTCCTCTGCTATAAAAAAACTCCCATCCCCTAGTTTAAGGTGTTTGGTGTAGAATTTTTTTGTTGTTTGTGTATTACATGCCAAAGGAGACAATCGTTTTTGGGCCCACTAGAAATTTTAATGAATCTTCATGGTATTACACAAAAATAAGATACCTATGGCCTAAAGGTTTTATGAAAAACTAAACGGAATAAAGAAAGCTGAAAAAAAATATGTTTTTTTTTTTGGTATTCGTGTCCTTATATATCATTTTTGCAGTTTGTATAAAATGAAAAAAATTACAAAGATAACTTGTCAAATACGTATATTTATTTGTATATTTTACATATTTATTACTAAAAAGAGATACCACTGAGAACTTCGTGTTTAAATAAGAAAGTCTACTGCAGTATGAGAAATCGCTCAGCTTTTAGCTAATAAGTTAAAAGACCGTGGAACGAAACGCTATTTTGTAATTGATTTCCGAGTAGGCATATCGATTCACTTAAGAAAATCGATCTCCAGTTCGATTTGTATCGACCTACACTAGAATCGATTCTTGATTAAATCGAGCATTAAAAGATCGATTTTCAATTAATCGCGACATTTTCAAACATGATCAGAGTTTACACTAATACTTAATACCTGGATGACCGAGCACTGCTCGGTATTTCTTTTTTTTTTTTTTTTAGTGTGGTTTGAAATTATATTTAGATAAAAATTATAAACTGATAAAGCTGTAAAGAACATGTTTTATCTTACCGACATAATAGAAAAAACTGAACTGGTTATTAGAATAAAAAATCATGAGTGCAATTAAATTTTCATATTTTTAAAAAAAATACTTTAAAAAAGCTCGAAATAGTATATTTTCTCACAAAATAAGGGAACTTGAAAAAAAAAAGGAAAAAAGTCAGACCGCAGACAGGACGCGAACCAGGGCACTACGATTTCGCGACGGGCCATTATCCACCAATAGTTTTGTACCAATTAAATTAGTTACGTGATCTAGATTACTTTTTTGTTGCTCGTGACTCTATTGCGCCCACACATTATGTTTTCTGAGGAAGACTCCCATTCTGATCAACCTCATTCAACCGTCATATATATATATATATATTACAATCACACAAAAATGCGCTCAGACTTCAGTCAGACATAAAGAAGGCAATAAAATCAAACAATTATTTGTAAATAATAGGGATTATATTCTTTTAAAATAATAAGATACAATTGTTAACAAATTTCGTTTTAATTAAGATCTCGTTTGCTCTTGACAGGTGAGTTATATGAGATAGATATTTATGTTATTTGTTACAACTAACGTTTATATAAAATATTACTAAAATACAGAATGTCATACATAAAATATATATTATAATTTTAATACGGTTACATGTATAATAATGTGCAAAAAAAAACTCGGCACAAATATAATTTTGCATACATTTTTGTATAGTTTTTGTATACATTTTTGTTATCCGGTTACAACGGTTACAATCAAACACTACTTAATGTAAGTACTTGTCTGACTTCATTTTAACATATGTTTTACATTATATTTGTGCGAAGCTATTTGCATTTAGTCTACACTAAATATATATTTATGATAATATTATGCTTATTATGTAACATCAATTGTTTCAAACATTATTTATCATTTTAATATTTTAATTGCTAAACATCAATTTTGATACAACACAAGCACAGTTGGGTGTTAAAAAACTACAGACATTATCTAATGCAGTCGGAAAACCAACGGCTAAGTCTTGGCACAAATGACGCCACCCCCGCACAATTCAAAATCCAAGATAACAAACTGCAAGTTGACCGCAAACAAAATTATATGCTTTTTTAATGAAAACAGGGAAATGTTCAGAGTCCTTTAACGTAATATTCCAATATAGCGAAAAAATAAAACTATTTATTTATCAGTAAAGTTGGGAAACATATTCGTTCCGTCATTTTCAATTAAAAATATTGCCTGTATATCCAACGATGTCACAAACTGAATAACTTAATAATAATAATCTTATCTATGACAAATATGGAGGTTGTTCACTCGTTTTCAATGTTTAAGTACTCTCACGGTTCTTGCTAAAATTAGAATCGTAGCTAGCAAGTCAAGTTTCATCAATAAATTACGTCACTTAAATATTTAATGGCGGTTTCGGATCAAACGTAGCCATTGGTATTAAACTCAGTACAAGCTCAATATAACGTAGATATATTTAAAAAAATATAAAAATTACATTTAAAATTTACGTAGCTTAAATTTAAAGCAAGAATGTCAATATATTAAAAATATTAAAACACAAATTTTCTGCCTCATTGTTATTTTTTTCGTCATATTCCTAGACCTTATATTATATACTATAATAATATAATTAAGTTCATTAACAAACAAGTCAATAAATAAATAACCATTGACTCAGTGTGACTGTAAATAAAGTTGCTGCATTAAAAATGTAGAATTTTAGTAATGCGAAGTCGATCGTGAATATTATTAATTAGATTTGTTACGTTTACATTAATTTAAGAAGTGATAATAATAGATATTTAATATCTGTAAGTCTACTAATAATAAAAATGTAAGATATATAATATTTACCGTATATTTTTAGTAAGTGGCGTAGCATGGTGGTGTCGGGGGGGGGGGGGGGCATGGCCCCGGGCGGCTTACGAAAGGGGGCGGCGGCAAGTGCAACGATTTTTTCAATAAAATTAACTCGAAACTGCACCCGCACTGTTACATGCCAAGCGAAACCGTAAGGGTGCGTAAGAAAGGAGGCGAGATGAAGTTGAATATTGCCAAAGTGACAACCACCAGGCGCCCGGCTGGCCGGCACTGCGCCGGCAAACTCGCGTGATAGAACCAACAAGCGACAGCGAGTACTAATCAGTTATTCAATCAAACAAAATAATCACTGCTGAACATAGGTCCAAGGATTGCCACAAAGCACAGTCCCGAGCCGCCTACATCCATTGACTTCACGCATGCCTTACCAGGTCGTCACTCCAACTAGTGCGGTAATGCCCTACGCTTTGCCTGCCGGTACGAGGCTGCCACTCGAGAACATTTCTTCCCCATCGGTTGTCGGTCCTTCGAGCTATAAGGCCGGCCCATTGACTTCAGTTTACTAATCCGTAGGACTATGTCAGTTGCTCTGGTTCTACTGCGGTTATCCTCGTTTTTAAGACTATCATGCATTCTTTGCATAGTCATAATAAAAAATATTAAATTAAAATTAAAAAAATGCTGAGGATTTTTAATACATGCCGTTAGTAATGAAAGTTGCAAGAAAAACTTTTTAAAGTTAAAAAAACACCAAGACACCAAATCACTATTCTAAATGGAATCATACATTTTGATATTGACGATAGTGTTAAATAAAGATTTTGTTTTGAAAAAACGCGAAAAGCACAATTTCAATCTAATTTTAAAACTAATAGCGACAGAAATAATCGATGAATATGCTTTTTGCAATACCAGTAAAGGTTGCTAAGTGTTGATGTGTACATTCATTATTATTATTATTTATTGTTGTATGTACCTACTTTTAAGTTAGTAAAGTTATGCCTTGACATATTTTCTACATTCGGTTCTTGTCTCTCTGACAAATCATTATCTTAAAAACTAATTTTTTGTTTAAACTACTTCAAATAGTTATTTATAAATAGCGATTCCTTGAAGATGACGATATAATTGCGAATAATTTAATGTTCAATTAACTTTATATAAATGACGAAGCAATCACTAATGGGTTTTTTTTACAACGTGTCACACTGAGTCGTGATTATTAGTTAATTATTCTACTACATATTAAAGTGTTGCCACTTGTATCAGCACGCGGGGAACGCCTATATAATTAAAATACACTAATGTCCTTGTGACGGTATATCACTTTAGGTTATAGGTTAGCTTGTTTAAGTTCATAAAATTCTCTTTATTATTTAAAGCTTCGTTTTGATCATTAGTACTAAAATGAAAAATATAATAAAGCATCTTATAGCATAGCGCACAAATTATAACAACATTATATTAGAATTGAAGACATAAGTTATAATGGAATATTATATTTAGAGTTAAATTCATAAAATTAAAGAGACGATGAAATTCGTCAAAAATAATTTACAGTACGTCGTTGTCACACGCAAAGTTTTGAGCCTTACTAACGAACTAAATAAGTGGAAGAAAAATCAAATATAATCTAATAAACTTATGACATCACAACTTCATTAATCATAAATTAAAACTTTATAAAACACGAATTATAAAATTAGAGTTTCTTTATTTGTCGCCAGTCTTTGACACCAGATTTATGACCGATGTTACAGGGAACAAGTAGGGTGAGAAATATTTATCGGGCGATTCAACATTTAATAAATATCTCTCATATATATATATATATATATATATATATATATATATATATATATATATTAATCTTTTTTGATTCAAAATATAAACAATATGATTACATATTTTTTTACAGCGGAATCACGCGTAATTACTACCACAGTGGGACATCAATAGAGCGACACAGACAGTAAAAGAGCAGTCCCACACAGAATATAGAACACGACAAGTAATTAGACAACGAGATGTTCTATTTTAGTCCTTATAGAAGATATCGCACCTTTATCTAGATTTTTAATTGATGCTGGCTTAAAGTTCATAAATCTCAGAGTTCCCACATATAAAGTTGACTGGTCACCTTACATAAAAAAAATCAATTCCATAAAATGAACATAAATCAAATAAAAATATAATTAATAAACAGTCGTTTAATTCATAAACGAGCAACGAAAGAGCTTTCAGATATATTTCAGACATATTCATCGTATAACATGATCAAGACGTTAGAAGAAGATGCGCGAAGTTTCTAGAGCTACGCGAAACATGTTGGTGTTCATTCTTCGCGAGAAGCGTGTATATGCATAGAAGCCACGAACCAGCTATGCGACTTACACGGGCGGTATCGTCCACAGTACTGCGGTCTTGTCCGCTGATGTAGACAAGAAGGAGAAATCGTCGGGATGCCATCGCGCTGATATCACTTTGTCCGGGTGACGAGCGACCGGAACACTCGGTAAGGTGCAAGTCAAGTCACCTGTGTTAAGAAATGAGAATTTTAACGATAATATGTATTATATCAGACCTTTATTAACACTCTGCGATCGCAATATTATGGAAAATGAGCAAAGTTCGAGAGAGAGTTTAACCCAATAGCTGCGCTTGGAGATTGTTTAACGATCGCAATAACAGGTGATAGGACTCATGATCTGTCTAAAGACCATCAGACAGTGGTCGAGGAATTAAATTGTAATTTCATTTGACCACTTCGATTTTATGACTAACACGTCTTTTTGACGCTGATCCCGTTGCTGGTCTGTGTGTTTTACATCTCACTTATACGAGGTGATAATACCGTCACCTAGCAGAGACCTTCGGATTAAAAAAATTTACTACAAAACTCTTTCATGAGACAAGAACAAGATGGTGAGGATTTATTATGTTTATGCAAACACTTAGCCTTGGGGGAGGCCTATGTCCAGCAGTGGTCTGTCGCAGGCTAATGATGATGATGATGATGATGTAAACACTTCACAGTGAATACTTGTTTCACGGATTTTGACGAGTTTTATTATCCCGAAATAGTATTCTGGGTAGATCTGTTACAAATTTAATAATTTTAAAGCGAAGGTAACCATGGTTACCTTGGGTCGTCGGACACCTTCCCGTGACTAAAAAAAATAAAACGTCAAAAAATCCATAAATCTGGTTTCATTCAAAATGGACAGGCATGTTTTACGCCACTACTGTCAACTACACTAACTTTTCAATAACATATCATCCAACAGTTCAATAAAATCGCTACACTTTATAAATGCATCCCCGGTGTTGAGCACTAGACAATCAGTATCATTTCAAAAAAAAAGTAATAAGCTCCTTTGATTTATCAGAGGGTTTTGAGACATAGAACAGTTTGCCCAAATGGTCATTAGCGGATTTACGTGTCTTTTAATCATTCTTATACTTATTATAATATATAACTTAAAGAATCACATAACCAAAGGTAAAATTGTATGTGATTAACAACTTCAAAAGGGCCGACTGGTCAGTGCTTGACTACAATCCCATCTCACCAGATGAGATTGTAGTCAAGCACTCATCAAGGGCTCATCGCCTGTCACCATAGGTAGGTAGGAGCCGTAGATGATAAATCGCATTGCTTCATAGCGAATGCTCTGCTCCAAAAGCATTAAGGCTTACTACAGCGAAATTTACATTGAGCCAGCCAATGTTTAGCGACTGCTAGTGAACCAACTTATGTGGCTCGGACAGAATATGAGCGCTGCGGTGACACTGTTACCGTAGCATTATACTTAATCGGTAACCATTTTATTGCTTCAATCCAGAGTGAAGCCTGTTATTTTTTAATTATTATATATTTAAGGGTTTTTATGTAAAGTAACGGCAGCAGCGAACAATAATTAAATCAAATTATTTATTCCGTAAATATTAAATTACATCAGTCATCAAATCAGTAATCAAAGTCACCTAGTAAGCTAAATAATGCACATAACAGGTGATTTCGCTGTTCCATAGTTAATAATTACAGTACAATTAACGCAATAAAATAACTTATAACGAAAAAAATAAGATAAGAAAAACTATCTTTAGTATCTAACCATCAGTCCCATAGCACTAATACATAAATAACTATTAGGTTATAATTTGAAGAAAAAAAAATTGTCGAAAACAATCTTAATCATGAAAACGAATTTATTGTGAATAGCCTTCGATCAACAATACCCACTAGATAACGGGTCACGTACAAAATCATGGCTAAATACTGTCCTCATGAATATAAACTGTGAAAAGACATAAATTAAATAACATTTAGTGTGAAATCAACCTTAAGTTATAACAAATAAAGTTCTTTTTCCCGTTATTGCCTTGAGAATTACTCTCACGTGCAAGAGCTCACGTCTCATGTGCGCTCTTATTTACTGAGATGGATTTCTTGCGCCGACCCGACATCTAGTTGGTATTGTTGACCGAAATGAATAGCTTACCCTGCAAATCTGTGAGGACGACGCGACCGTCGTATCCTGCGGTGAGGAGGTAGTAGGCACCGGGAGAAAAACGAACGCTCCTCACGTCCCCGGAATGCGGCGTGAAACGTTGCAAGGCGCGGGAACCGCGCACGTCATGCAAAGCGCACGAACCGTCGTCGTGACCGCATACCAAAAGACGACCGCTGGGGTCCACCGCTAGTGACGCCACTGCCGATCCCTAATAATAATTTAAAGAATACACTATACAACACGTAACATAATTAATAAATCAGTTTGTTCAGAATCGTTTACTGAATCGATTCCTATCATTTTTAATATAGGTAATTTTTTATCCCAGAAATAATTAAAACTACGTAAATTACAGTCACCCTAAATATGTACAGTCAAAACAAACTGAAATGGACCGTAACTTAAGGCAATAAGACTTTTAAGAGTGCAGTTTTATTTGTATTATTACTAATTCTGTCATTCAATAAAAATAAAGAAAAATGAACTTTATGTCAAGCAAGTTAACGTCTTTTCGTTCGAGGATTTGTACTGTGACCACAACATTCTTCCGGAATTAATATAACTAATTTGATAAATAATCAGTGCATAAAAATGTTGAACTAAAAATTCAGTGTATGTATTATGATTATAACATAATATACTAATTGGGGTGTCTAAGGGGGTGCGTTAATTACGTTACATATTGTATACACTAACACTAATAAACTATAAGATAGATAATACTATTGTGCGCTCAAAAAATACGTATAAACAAAAAAGCTATTTCTTCCAGACCACCTATGGATATACAGAATTAGAGAGTATGAGCAACAGGAGCAGAAAAGCAGCAAGAGAACGAAAAAAAACATGTGTAGTTTAGCGAAACGACAATACATTTTTTTATTATTATCCATAATATACAATGATAAATGTTTACTAATATTATATAAGCATAATATGTATAATATAAAAATTAGTAGGTTCACATAATATACTTTAAAACTATTACATAAAATAATGTTACATACTTATAAATGATGCTTTGGACAGAATTAAAAATGAAAATAGTAATTATGTATATGTTTCTTAAAAACCGGTAAGGATTGAGCACGCCTATAAATTTTAATAACGCCAGCGAAATTTTGTAGCAAGTCGTGGTAGGTCAGGGACCAGAGGAAAATTTACGACGCAATTTTGCTATTTTAAGTGCTGTTGGTGTTTTTTGATTTTGCCCAACAGTAGAACATATTTAAATAATTTATTTAAGCTACAACTTTACTATTATCGTTTTTGGAAACGTAAAAGGAAATGTTCTTTATTATTTATTGTACACACTATAAGTTAGTAACAAGTTTTGAATATTTTAAATATTATTAATTATTATTAAAGTGGCCAAGTCAAAAGTATGTTAAAGGGCTTGGGAAGCGGGCCATCAACGTTATTATTCAACCTTTTTTTGTAAATATTGTTTTATTAAAGCATATTGTTATATTTAATAAATTTTTGGCGGTTAAGAGTTTGATTGTAATAATACAGCACCCAATACCCATCACATCCACATTTATTATACTATCGTCATAATTATGTTAACGAACATACCTTATTTGGATGTCCGTTGGGTGGCGAAATGATATTGACACAGCCTCCGGTACGTAAATCCCAGAAGCGGACAGACTTGTCCTGGCTACCCGACACGAACATCGCTCCACCCCAGGTGTACAGCGATAGCACATGACCAGAATGGCCGCTTAAAGCCTGCAGACATACGACAAATGATCCTTATAATTTGGAACTAAAATCTTACACGATTTATTACACAGCGCCTGCAGTACTTAATATTCTATAACTTTTATTATCATCATCATCTTATTACAGCCCTTCCCAAGTGCACGGCTGATCTTAGACCTCCCCCAAGGAATTCCACGAAACACGGTACTGAGCCATCTACATCCGTCGACTTCCTTAACATGCCTTAGTAATTTATCCACCCCCCGCCGTCATATCAAATAATATTTTAAAATAAATGAAATTTAGCTATATTTACACCATACGTTTACCAATAAAGGGAGGAAAAACGTTTACAAATAGGGTGAGATATAACGGCTGATAATGACGTTGAGTGTGAGACGATTAGGTTGAATCAATAAATTTAATTACATGTACGGCTTCACAATTTATCCTTCTATGATTTAAATGTAGATGTTTCACGTAAGTCAATAAATGAAAACTTAAATACGTCTAGACACATTGTTTATATATAAAATACATACTTATACAAAAAGAAAACACAAAAAACGACGGCATTAAATACAAACTTAAATTGTCATCGCGGTACATAAAATAAATCTATTTCAAAAATATTGAAAATAAAATCTGGCAAACAAAAATATCATATTTCTTTCGCTTAGTGAAAATGAAAACCTCTACGAGGAACAAAGCGAAACGATATTAAATTAGAATAAATGTGAACCCCCCAGTCGATGAGGTCTTCAGATGTGCCCTTCACAAGAAATTATCTCCGTCGATAGATCAAATAAAAATGTTATATTATAATGATTGGGTGAAGGGATCAAACTATTAGCTGGTACCCAGTGCGTTACTGCTCTAGAAGAATAATTGTGGAAATATGACTTTAAATTTGGAAGAGTTCTAATACTGTCTACTTAGGAATGAAAAAATATTCATTGAAATTGAATTATAATGGCCCGGCCACACTAAGGAGAAATGCCGTTAATTATCGCGTTGATGGACGTTGAATGTAGGTGTGGCCACGAATTAACGCGATAATTTTCAACGGCATTAACAATGCCGTTTCCCGTTTGCCGATAACTCGAGTGGCGGTACATCAAAGGATTAACGCGCGAATTATCGCGTTGAAGCGGCCACACTACGTTTGTCTCATAGTGCACGGTGAGTGCCACGGGGTTGCACGTATGGCTGCGATGGTGTGGAGTAATGAAAAAGCTTTTCGAGATTGAATAAAATAAAATTACTTCAAAAGTACTTTAATTAACGGTATGAAACTAAGAAAAATAAGCAGGAGAAAAAAAAAACAATTTTTGCAGGTCAAAATTCATAGTGTACAGTGGTACGAAACCCTGAGTAGGTACGTGTATCTAATTCGCACTTGACCAGTATTTATGATTGGCCTATTAGTTATTACTTCATTAAAATACATTTACGTTTGTCTTATTATTTAGCTTAAACCATTGGACGTCTTTCTAGTGCAATTTGGGTGCGGGAAAACAAAATAAAACATAAATAGATTTACAGTGTACGTTTCCTGTGCATTTGTAGCATCCACCACCTTCTTCTTCTTTGTATTCATTTTTTCTTTGTTTATTTTTTATTTCATAGGATGGGGTGACAAATAAGCACACAGTCCACCTGATGGTATGTGGATGCTGTAGCCCACAGACATCTACATCTATCTTCGATTACGAATCAAAATGCAGATGCGTTGTCACCCGTGAGGACTAGGATGGAATGCCTCGTTTGCAGTAAAAAGTCTCCGGTTCTCTACACTCACCATACGAAACACAGCAGCATTAAGCTACTATTTTACGCTGGTATTCTGTGAGAGCGTGGTCCTTCCCCGGTCGAAACATTTAACAGCGGCAAATTTAACGCCGTTCAACGGCAAATTTAATGCCGTTCAACGGGAAACGACGTTGACCGTTCAAGTGTAGCCACTCATTTTATCGCGTTAAATTTAAGGCAATAATTGTTGCGTTTATGGGCATTGACGTTGCTCGTTAGTGTAGCCGCAGCATAAAACACTTTCAAATAAATTACGGTACGGTACGATACGCGCGCCACCTACTATATGTTAATTGTATTATGCTATAACCTTCGCGCAAGTGCAAGCAATAAGTTGACAAAGTTTTATCGCAATCTGACGAACGGTATGGCAACACATAAAATACGCACAAACACATATTAATGTTTATATACTAGATTAGGAGCCAAGCAATCGAATAAATGTGTAAACAGTCTAATTTTATTTACTATTAGGTTTCTTATGGACGTTTAGTGCTAAAGTACTGTTATAGATGATTGCACGGGGTTTTTAGGGCGAATAAAACTCTTGTTGAATTTGTCAGGAAGGCAGACGAGGGCAGGGTAGTTTTTATCGATCATCCTTTGTTCTTTCTTTTTCTTGTAAGGACCGAACGTCGAATGATTCCCCAGTCAATGGCCACGATATTTATATGTTTTATAGCAACTTTCTGGAAAATTCTATGCTGCACCCCCTCTGGCCACCATTATTTATTTTGTAGAAACACATAATTCCTATTTTAATTGTTCAATAACACACAAGAAAACAGAATACTTTTTTTATTTATATACATATTTATGTGTCTGTAATGCGGGTTTTTACTATTTTAGCTATACTAATTTTAAACATGACTCAAATGCTAAACAGATCACCGACCTTTGAGGCGGAGTCGGTCTCTTCTTTGATAAAATTGTCTGGTGCTGGGACGTGACTGCTAGGGCCCAGCAGGATATGATTTGGGGTCAACGCTTCTGGTTCTTCCGGTGGCCCAGCCACGTGCGTGAGCGGCCGCTAGTTGGCGATATTCTCGACTTCGACAGTGTGAGCAGTCTCATCGCTTTGGTGCTTCTCGTGTAGCGTGATTAATGTTTTTTTTTTCACGCTACTCACTAGATGTACCCAGCTACTCACTAGATGTACCCATGCGCTGTCCATTGAATATAACTGGGTATTGTTAATATAAAAAAACCTAATGCAATAATTTAAAAAGTAAAGAAAATATGTAGAAATCTTACCTACACAACTTTCATGTTGTAGTTCTTAAACGAAGCTTATTCTAGGAAATATTACCTTGACTTCGGAAGACCTATTCAGCAGTATGACAATCAACATGGTACGCAATTTTCTGTTCGTACCGACATCTAAAGTAATATGATAAAGAGAAAAGTTTTAATTGTTTGTATGTTTGTTTATAATAGATAAACTCAAAACTACTTGAACGATTTCATAAATTTATTCACCTGTAGAAACTAGAAAGCTACATTATCAGCGAGTAACATAGGCTGTATTTTAATTTAAAAAATTAGAGATAATGTAACTTGCTCAGGACTCAGGGTGGACTCTTTACGGTAGAAAAATTTTAACTAACTTACGGTTTGATTTTTGAGAATTCAACTTCTAAGGGGATAAAATAGTGAGTCAGGTGAGTGAAGCCGCGGTCAGAAGCTAGTTTCGTATAAAAACAAACATAACATAAACATTGCACGAGACGAATTAATTTAATATATATATATATATATATATATATATATATATATATAAATATATATATATATATATATGATATATCAACCTTATATTATAATATATACTTACTCCCTTTATATATTATAATGCTTTTCATTATTAAAAACAATGCCTTGTGATATATGAGGAATCCCAGATACACATACCTAGATACCCGTAAAAAGCATAACCTTATCTTTGTTGTCGCGCAATCAGGTAAAAAGTACGTGGGGTGATCCAAAAGTAATGCTAATCGGTTACTTCAGGTCCGCATAAAAATCCAAAAAAATATTTTTTGCTTGCTTATAAACTCACTACGTCAGCCTAAAATAATCATATAAATAGATCACGATTTCCGGGAGATACATTCATTTGAATACGAACTGTCAAAGAGATAACAACATGGAGAAAAACGAAATTAGAGCTGCCATCAAGTACCTCTGTTTGAAAAAAATGACTTCAAACGACATACAGAGTGACTTAGTGGAAATATTGGGGGACTCTGCTCCTCCATATTCTACAGTTGCACGCTGGGCCAAGGAGTTTAAACTGGACAGAACATCCACTGAAGATGAACATCGCGAATGACGCCCATCCACTTCCCTCACTGAAGACAACGTGAAAAAAGTCGAAGATGTTGTTTGGCAGATCGAAGAGTGACCATCAGGCATGTAGCTGAGGTCACAGGGATCTCATATGGCAGCGTTCAAAGAATCCTTGCGAACGATTTGCATATGAAAAAGGTCTCTGCGCGTTGGGTACCCAGAATGTTAACCGACGAGCAAAAGAAAAATCGAGTTGACATTTCGAGGGTCAATCTCGAAAAGTTCCAAGCAGATCAAGAAAATTTTTTGTTCCGTTTTGTGACTATGGACAAGACCTGGATCTACCATTTTGATCCTGAAACGAAACAACAATCGATGACTTGGAAGCGAGCCTCCTCACTGACGCCAAAGAAATTCAAAGTTTCAAGTTCGGCGGGAAAGATTATGGCATCTGTTTTTTGGGACGCTCAAGGCATAACTATGGTGGAATATTTGGAAAAGGGAGCCACTATTACGGGCTCTTACTACGCAGACCAAATAAGAAGATTACGGGAGGCCATTAAGGAAAAAAGACGCGGCAAACTGCGAGCTGGAGTGCTGTTTCACCAAGACAACGCACCGGCTCACAAAGCCGCAGTTGCGATGGCTGCCATTCAAGAAACGGGATTCGAACTGCTCGAACACCCTCCCTATTCGCCAGATCTAGCTCCCAGTGATTTCTACCTCTTTCCTTGGATCAAGGAACGCCTCCGAGGCAAGAAATTCGAAGACGATAGCGAAGTAATGGCCGCTGTTGAAGCGATTTGGGAGGGTCAAGACAAAGAATTTTTTTCAAAGGGAATCCTGGGTTTAGAAAAAAGATGGACTAAATGTATTGATTTGTTAGGAGACTGTGTAGAAAAATAAATTATTATTTTAACTTTAATTACCGTGTTTTATTTTCATTATCATTACTTTTGCTAGGTCGTCCAATATTAAAATATGTCAACAAAATTTACTAATGTAATGTATATAATATGTACCTTCCTATATTACGTTGTTTCTCTATACCTTTACTGCTACAGCACATGAAACGTCCACAGCTGTACATAGGCCTTCGACATAGATTACCTTATAGAGTTATGATTGCCATAATAATATGATATATTATATTATGCGTCGCAGTTGCCAAGCTGTGCAGGCGGGTTAGCAATCGCAGTCTTTTGTTTTAAATTATATCGAGTTTTTGTTTCCCTCTTACGATACCTACAAGACGATATGGGGTAAAAGATATTCTTACATCGCCCTACACGGATCACCTCTATATCCTATAATAGTCGAAAAAACACGAGGCTAACCGCATATTAACTAACTAACGAAAAACAATTTTTACAATAACGTGTTTACCCGTTTGACTAGCTCCCACGTGCAATTCTACTTTTGGTGTGTTTTGGCAGTTTCATTAATGAACCAGTCATCTACTCAATTGCGGCTAACTTCCTACTTTTTGGTATATACTAGTTTTTTTGTTTTAAATTCCATAAAGATTAATAATAATAGTCATTGACAGTTTCCAAGTTTGATTTACCACTGATTCGGAAAATACCTTTGTCTTGGTAAGAAACCAACCAAGCAATTTGTAATAAAAATAATATATTACATTATACAAGAAACCTTAAGATTAAAAAATACAATTATAAATAATAAAAAATAAAATCTTATTCGAAATAGCTCTTTTTGAGTCGTTATTGTAACCTATCACATCGGTCAATATATATAAGTTCCGAGATAAGTAAGAAAAACATAATTTTTATTCAAAATTCAATTTTCTTCATCAATATAGTCTCCTTCAAGAGTGATACACTCAGTCAGTCACTCAGTCAGTAATATTTCTGTGCCTTTTTTATAATACGATTTGTCCTACCCTTCAAAATGCGCTTTAGTTACGGCGATCACTTCTTCATTTGAGGCAAAATTTCTTTCCGGATAGCATTTTTTAGGTAGCAATAATAGTCGCTAGGGCTAAATCTGGGAGGGTGAGCAAGCAATACAAACTTTAACTCATTAAGTTTCGCCATATTGACAACAGACTTGTGACGTAGTGCATTGTCCTGATGAAAAAGAACTTTTTTTTATTTTGCATTTGAGATCCTTTCGCCCTTCTGTAGATAGTCTATAAACATATATTTTTTTTATAGAATAAGGGTGACAAACGAGCACACAGTCCACCTGATGGTAAAACGCAGATGCGTTGTCATCCCTGAGGACTTAGATGGAATGCCTCGTTTCAAGTAAATAAGGGTCTTCCGATCTCTACACTCACCATACGAAACACAACTGTATTAAGCTGCCATTTTACGCTGGTATTCTGCGAGAGCATGGACCTTCCTCGGTCAAGCCGACCCATTCGTGCTACAACCATAATATAGCTGCAGAGTGGCTCTACCACGCACCACAAAAATGTATTAAAATCATATTTATTATATGTATTAAAATCGTATAATCATAATTATTTAATTCCAAAACACGGATGCTATAACCTTTCCAGCCTAAATTTGAGTTTGTGATCTCTTTGGGCGGCTTTCATTTGTTAATGTCCCCTCACTTGACTGCCGAGTTGATTCCAGAGTGTAGTGGTGGATCCAAGTTTCATCCATTGTGAAATGCGGCATGAAAAAATCCATTTTCTTCAGACTAAATAAAATAAACAGCGCTGTGGGGCTTTACACGAGAACGAGACGGACAGGTGCTTACACCTCTTGGCAAGGCGCTGACTGCCTGCATCGATATACTTAGGCCATATTAAGTTCTGTCAAAAACTTTTTATAAAATTAATGATACACTTTTATGATAATTATATAGAAATTATAGATGAAATGAAAGGTAATTTAATTTAGAATACAATTTTATTTACATTATCAAAATGCCCTCCCCTATTTTGAATACGTGCTCTTAATCGACGGCCAATCATCAATGCTGCATTAGCCAAAGATGCTCAGATAATTACAAATTCTGATGAGATTTAGCGCAGACTTTCTTCTCCAAATTTTGCCAGTCTTCATGTCCGATAAAGTCAATACCATGGGCGGTCAACCAGATTTGCGTGCTTCGTTCATATGAGCTGGTGCAAAGTCCTGTTAGAATATCCAATGTCTGTTTTTGAACATTGTTTGAGAAATAGGTTCCACTATGTTTGTGAGGACGGTATTTTGGTACACCTCGGCACTGGTTTTTACACCTTTTTACAGAAAACACCTCAATTAAGCTTGAATATAAAACACCTCAATTAAGCTTGAATATAAAACAACTCAATTAAGCTTGAATATGAGACTCCAAGCCAAACCATAAGTGACGAAGGATAATATGCTCGTTGAACCCTCGGAATACGCGTGCTGTCTTATTTACAGGTGTATGCCACACCTTATTATTTTGTTTATTATAACTTTCTTCGATGTTACAAACTTTTTCATCCGAAAACAAAATATCGCGGTTATTTTTCCAGCGTGCCGCCGTAACAAAGCGCAGTCCAGTCTATTTTTTTTCAAACGCTCGTTAAAAAAATGTCCGGTCTTCTTACGATAAGCTCGTAGTCCTAGGTCTTCATTGATCACTCTTTTGACCGTGGTTCTGCTTAGGCCCATCTGAAAAGCTTAGATGTTTTGTTTACGAACAGGATTTCGTTGGATTCGCGCCTTCACTGGTTTGATGATCGCGGTTGTCCTAATTGTACGAGGTCGGCCGGTCCTCTTACGATCTTCGAAGCTTGAATCTTCAGTGAATCGTTCGATGGTGTGATAAACAAATCGTAGGGTTATTTTCAATTTTTGTAAAATATTGAAAATCTCTTTTGGCGCGTAACCACAGCGGTGCAATGCGATAACCGCTACTCTATCTTCTGTCTTCGATCACTCAATATTTGAATATGAATGAAAATTAATGTCTTTTTTATTTTCGGCAAGCGCAAACGTTATATTTTTGAAATTGGTAAAGTTCATCAAGCCAGTATTCAAAATTTTTAAATAGTAAGGTTTTGACAGAACTTATGACCCGACTAAGTACTTAAGTGGTAAGTGGTACGACTAAGTACATCAGTGGGCTATGTGCTCGTCACACGAGGATGATGATGTATAAGTAAATAATGACTACTAGTGGTCGCCTAGTGATCGATACAGCTGTATATTAAGCTTTCACTTTCAATTGCACATTAAAACGTAGATATCTCATATAAAAATACGCTCTTTTGCCATAATATACACGCCACAGATTATTGAAAAATTAAACTTAGAAATCACACAAAATAAAGCACTTATTATTCGTTACCAATTTTTTTAAATTCTTTGGCGACAGTGTCTACCCTGTGCCACTTGAGCGACTGTTTGTACCATCAAAATATTTGACATTGGCAGTATAAACGTAAACAAACGACAGGCCATATATGGTGTGTTTGACATTAGCAATATGAATGTTACTTACTACGAAAATAATGAAACTTTTATTTAATTTAATTAAAATTATAGCTTTCTGCACTCCTCGTCTATACAAACTTAAACGTTGCCAATCTCACAATCCTTAGTGCGCGCAATATGCTGAAAAAGGGGAACAAAGTTTAACTTTGACGTATTAAATATATAGATCAGGTTAGTAAACATCTACTAAATGTGTAAAACATTGAACAAGATCGTTCTTCAACATACGCGGAAAGATAGTACCGTATAATGAAAAATTCTTTGTTGTATGTGAGACGAAATTTCAAGACTCTACCGACACTTTAATAAGGTAAATAAGTGAGTGAACGAGGGTGAGATATGTGTTCGAGTAAATGAAATTAGAATTTGCTCACCTGGAATGTCTTGCCTGTGGCGCAATCGGTTACGTATATCTTGCAATCGCCAGCACCGCCGCTCACCAAGAGGCTCGTTTTATTCGATGTGTCTTCTATGAAGCACACGTCTCGAACAGTACCATCGTGCATCGTCAACTCCACCTATTGAATAAACTATGAGTTAAAATCCTTCCGAATTCGTAATTAAGTGAATATACCTAATATTTATGTCACCAGTAATAAATGCTTTTCTGTAAATTATGGATACATTTTTTATAATTGGTTTCACTGATGAGTGGTGACACATGTCCTGTGACGTTCCTTACTTTATTGCTTTTTTGCTAAGAGAATACAATAATATATATATTATCAATATAAAAAAGCAATTGGGGGACCTATGTTCACATGACTTGTGAAGGGCTGTAATGATGATGATGATGATAAGGATAGGCGTGTAGTAGCAGTGTAATAATATCAACTACCCCATATCGTCATCTGTACTAAAATTGCGGTTGCCAACCAGGTGGCGACCATAGCAGCCCTCCTTATTTGATAGTGCGGAAGGCTTATGTTTAGCAGTGGACTTTTATATGATGGATGGATTTATTACGTTTGTATAAAAATACCTTTTGAGTCGACCACAATGAATTTTATTTTCCCATCCTTTTAATCATTCCTTAATCTACTCAAAAAACTCATTCCCTAACTATGCACCATTAAACTTTTCGCAACCTATTATGAAACCTAAAATCGTAAATATGAATTCTATGAAAGATCTATTTATTTCAAAACCCATTTTCCAGCAAATGTTATTGTATGCCTTTTTATAAGTAGCGCGGTGTATTCATAGTGTATAGTCTTTACGTGATGTTTTAATCACGGTAAAAAGTTAATTTGTAAAAAAAATTTCAAATTCTTTGTCCTTCGATATCTCACGAACGAATGAACCGATTTTTATTTTCCAAACGGTATTCGACGTCATTTTTTGAGGTTAAGAGCCGATTAGTTTTTGAAATCGGTTGATAAAGCCGTTTAAAAACAGTTTTTCAATATTTTTATTTTTGAGATTTATCAAAATCTACTCGTCCAAATCAGTTCATATTATCACCAAATCTATTCCACATTGAGATCTTTAGAACGCCGCAAAACCGCATCTCAATCGATCAAGACGTTCAAAAGTTATGAAAGGTTTACATACTTACACACACACACATCGAGTGTCGAGATCTGATGGAGTTTTCATTAGAGATTTTCGAAAATCAGGGTAAAACCAATAACTTCCATATTTTTGAAAATTTTCAATTTTCTTAGCGGGAAGTTAAAAAACTTTAAAATTTAGATACCGATTTATTAGTAATAGTAAAAAATTTTAAAGGCGTCTTTTTAATACAAACATATTTGAAATCTTTTAATTTTCAGGAAGTACTTGATTTTAAGAGCTTTTTTAAAATTTTACTAATGATGATGTTATAGAGTAGACTAAAGAGTTTAATAACGCCACCACCAAATATAATTAGAGATATATATTTTACATATAGATAACATTTTTATCTTTAAATTAAACGATAGCAAACATTGTTTTTCGCGTAGTTTGCTAACACTTAATAAATATTATAACAATAAACTAATATTAAATAGTCTATGAGTATGATAAAAATGGTTGATTTCAAATAATTGATAAAAATCTTTGTACCGTTCCGATAAATAACTGTATATAACTGTTCTTCACTTTGCTTTGTATAAATTGACCGAATTACTACGCACAAACTAGTTGATAATTAAAATAAATCAAAGCAATGGTCTACGCACTGGTTATTGTAATTCGATTAAATAGGATTAAATTAGAAATCAAGCAAAGATTATAATCGTATTTTATTAGCCGACATACAAAAAGAGGTGAACGAGTGTTTGTTTTTTTTTTAAATCTTAATATACATAAATAACGTGTCACGTTGTTCGTCCGCGATAGACTCCTAAACTACTTAACCGATTTTAATCAAATTTGCACACCTTGTGCAGTTTGTCCCAACTTGAGAGATGGGATTTTTTTTGTCCATGAGTGATCCACATTTTTTTTGCGAATTTAAGGATTTTTAATAGGATATGACAAAGGGTCGCCAAAAAGAGCAGAACAACGTCTGTCTGGCCAGCTAGCATATAGATATGTATTTCAATTATTATATTTATTAAAGTATATGTATGTGTGTTACGCGATATCTTCGTTAATTATTAAAAGTTTTATGATTCTTTTTAATTATTAAATCGTTTATACTTCATAGATAGGTAGTTCCATATAAATCCGGAAGAAAAAACTTCTCTCCTAAGGGTCACAAAATAGAGGATCAAGTTTTTAATGGATTTAGGTGACATTGAGCTTGTGATATTTTAGTACTTAGTCTACTCTAAAAGGTAAAAAATTTACTTCGAAAACAAAGTAAATGCCGAAAGTAAAACAACTTTCGCGCTTTAATTCTTTTTTGCAATGTGCCTCAGAGCCGACTTCAGAATGTGGGATTATTTTAAACGCTTTTAGTATTCTTTTTAGCTGTAAGACAGCTTTTACTCTGTTAAAATTTATTCATAAACAAAAACAAGTCGGTTGACATTTGACAACTGGACAAGCAGGACAATATGGCTTTCAAAGCACTAGATATTGTCCTTACTTTACTCAGCCTTTTGTATGAAGTTATTTAAAGGTGGAATATAAGAAAAGCCTTTTTCATAAAATAAATATCATCCACCTTTCTAATATTACGACCTATTAATAGCAAAATAAGAAGACAATAGAAGTGAACAATCTAGAAAAGGTTCTTAAATCACTATGGCCTAAAATATTCTTACATACCGAATCAAAGCAGACTAATTAAGTCAATTTTATGCAGATATTGCTTTTGCAAAATTGTCTGCCACCCTGACGCCTAAGTTAACTCGTCTGTAACTCATAAGTTACTTATGTTACGTGGATACACCTGTTACTCGTGTTACGTGGATGTTGAATAGGCCAAAAAATAAGTAATTTAAATATATTTAAAATCTGATAAAATTCTACAACGGCATAAGTTAGAAAGTTGAATATTTCTAATAGGTTTAAAATATCTCATATGAGGGTAACAGTTCTAGACAAGCAACGTTTTCACGATTCTAAATTTCTAATACTCAAAACGTGTTAATTTATGTTGTCCTTCGAGTCGTTTACATTAGTTATTCAATCGAGCATTGGTATTTGGTATGAAAAAGTAAACAATATGTCATGGGCCAAGTGAATAATCGGGGCACTACAGTTACATGTGTATATACGTGTATAGTTATATGTACTAAGTATAATGCCCGATCATTATGAATCATCATCATCATCACATCCTATAAAAGTCTACTGCTGAACATAGGCCTCCCGCATAGATTGCCTCATATTTTTTACCATAGTTGCCACGCTTGGCGAGCGGGTTGTCAATCGCAGTTTTTTTTATTATTTTGAATTGTTTTCAGGAAAATGCTGCTGCCCATGACCTGTTTCCATTTCCTTTGCCGCATCTTATGATACCCACATGACGATATGGGTAGTGTATACTCTTACACAGCCACTACACGGTTACAATATGAATAATGACAAGTAAATCGGGCTATTATCACATTGTCTGGTCATAACCTACTTCATTACTCTGCCCAATAAGTAACGCACTTTATTGAAATAGATCGATCATTTTAATTATTTCAGTAGTTTTTATTATATTTTCTAAACGCTGCTTAAATATGACCGATGAATACTACTCGTATTTGACATATTTTAAGCTGTCTGGACATTATGAATAATACCCTAATAATCACTTGGGCCTTAACACGTAGATAATAATAGTGACTATAATGCTAATATAACGATTGTAATGATACTTTCGATTACGGTAATAACTCCTCAATTTCGGGTAGATAATGTTTTAAAATAGAAATGTGATAACGTGAAAAAATTTCCTCAACATGTGTCTGGGTAAATTTTCTAAGGTAATCACGTAATTAATTAAGGTAATTAGTCCTTTAAATATTAAGAGTCGTCTAAGGATTGTCATATAAAGGCGTGTCTATATAAAGGCATTTTTCACCATTACTTTTATATGTAAGCAGTATATCTAGAATGCAAAATCCCTGAGTAACTAACTATTCATACCATCTTTTTATGTAATTTTATAAAACATCGCCTAATTAAATAATCATTTGTGAAATTATAAAGGTTGTTAGTAAAACAAAAATTTTATCACGGAATACAATGTCGCATTAAGCACATTTAAAGTTAAAGTAAAGTTACAGCCTATATACGTCCCACTGCTGCCGGCCTCCGCTCATTTCTGAGAGGGTTTTAGGGAAAGAAATTGTCCGCTGCGCTGCCCCAATGCGTGTTGGCAAACTTCACATGTCTTCGAAATATTTTTTTCTTATTTCTCTGACATGCAGGTTTCCTCACGATGTTTTCCTTCACCGCCGAGCACGTGGTAAATCAGCACTTAAAATTGCAATTAACAATTTCATTGGTGCCGGCAGGGATAGAACGGGTTTGCTCGCGTAATGTGGAATTTACAGCGAGCGCTAACCATCTGAGCTACCACGGCTCTCAAGCACATTTAAATCCACACAAATGTAGAGCAATAAGTTTGTTCAGTTTCTGATGTTGTACTTGGAGGCCGAATGTTAAATGCATGTTAACGTAAAACACTTGTAATTAAATTTCGATTGCAAATATTTATTTATATGTAAAAGAAAACATGAATCATAAATATTAATTGCGTTAGAACTGTGGTAAAGTTAAATTAATTACCTCTAATTCAGGAAAATCATATGCATTTATGCATTAACGGCTGAAATATCCGTGTTTTCATGTTTCATTATTTAAAAAAATTAAAGTAGTGCGCTATTAACTAAAATTATTCACATGTAGGTTTCTGATTGCTGATCTAGTATTGCACTTTTTTATTCATGGCTTGCTCTCGCGTATTTCTAATCTACCTATCAAACTACGCTTGCGGAGAAACATATCTTTTTAAATGCTATAATGGTACGGTATATGTTAAACAATAAATTACTTTCAAACTATACTGAAATTAATGTTATTTACTCAGAATGCTATTTTTGCAACGAGTACATAAAAATGTTTTCCATGGCGAAGGGAAAACATTGTAACGGACGTGCCTACGTGCAGCTTTGAGTAATTAGACAGCAATGCGCTCTCGAGAAATAACTCAGGCAAGGCGACAGTGAGTAGGCTATGAACGAGTAAATGGAATTGGAGAGCACGTCGCTAGTTTACCTCGCTTTAGATATTTATAACGGTCGATCCGTCAACCAACGTTGCTGGCAGATGGTTGGACACGGACACTACTCTCTTAAATTGGCGCATGCGGTACGACTACGTGTGACTACGTGCGATACGTGTACTGATTGCACACAGTAGTGTTACTGAGAACGTAAATCGTGTAGCATCTTGAAAATGGCTATATAGTATAGAGCCGTTTTGTACTCAGCTGGATGTTGATATTGATAATATTCGAAATGTATTATGATAATTAAAAAAGTTAAGTAGATCATTGAGTAAGTAATAGGTTACAAGTAGATATTTTTTATAATAACACAACAGCTTTGAATTTTACTTTGTACCTACACGAATACTCGTATTTAGAATTTCCGGTAGAGCTACGCTGCAGTTGTATTGTAGCTGCAACCCGAGCAGGTCGGTTCGACCGGGGTTCGAGAATTCTCACAGAATACTGATGTAAAACAACAGAATAACGCTGTATTTTGAATACGACTCATTACACTGGCCATAATGAGTGTAGTGAGTCGTTGCCGGACACCCTTTTTACTCATAACCTCCATCTTAGTTCTCGGGAGTGACAAGCTATCTGCATTTTGATTCATCGAGGACGGATATAATGCCGTAGCAATAGCATTTACTTACTATTACGTAACTTGTAAGTTTGCTAATTCTATAAAAAAGCGAATACAAAGTAGTTTATTTATATCAAAACCTTTTTTCATTTTAGGATACTTACAAGCACCTCGAATATTTTGAATGCTACACGCGTTGTTCGTGAGTCGCCGCAATATACTCATAATTTAACTTTCGCAGACAAACTTACTTTTTACTTTTGCTTCGTCGTACATAATTTGTACAGCAAAAAAAATGGAATAATTTTCCAGCCTATATCTTTTCATCCAAATATAATGTGGGTGGCTTCAAAGCTTGGGTGAATAAACTTTTGTTAAGCTAAGTCTGTGCGCTTTACCATCTTCGGCTGCATAACCACTTCCTACGCGGCTTATAATAGTAAAAAAAAATCATGTCGAAAACTGATGCATGTGCATGACAATTTAAACGCAAGTTAAAATAATGAAATAACGAAATTTATTCGACTGATGCATGTGCATGAGAATGCACACGCAAGTTAAAATAATGAAATAACGAAATTTATTTACGTGATATATTTTAGTAAATTTTATTCCCGAAGTAGAAAGAACACAATATTTTATAAATAATAATCAGCTAGAATAAGCATAAGACGATTAATTCTTTTCTATTAAATGTCATAATATAAAACTTATTATCAAATTCAGTTTTATGTAACAGGAATATTCGATTATATTAAATAGTTCGATTTGACTATTCTTGTAACATTGTACTCGGTGACGGCTGCCCAAGAAGTAATGATAGTTAAATAGACTAGGAAAACCAGCTTCATATAATCTCATAGTCAGTCGTGAACATTCTTACTTTCAAGGGAATCGAGAACTTTATTAAAACATTTAAATTAATAACAGTTTTTATTCTTTTAATTTTCACATATTGCAATCAACTCACATTTTTGAAGTCACTCGTTAATAAGGTAACCATTTTCCTAATATTTCCCATTTAAAATAAATCCCATTTAAAAGAATAACTAGTAGTAAAAGTAGAATATATCGATAACACATTTATTACCTGACCTATAAAATCTTCGATTAATTATACCTACTTTTATTGTTTGTTGTCCATATATACCTCAGTTGCTGAAATCATATAGTCCCTAAGTTAATGGCTTGTGGGAGATAATTTACGGCAAGGTGATAATTTATAATGTCGACGAAATGAAGCGACCAAATGATTTAGTAGTATATTGGATATGTTATATAAAATAGTTGGGAGCTACCTATTATTTATTGACGCAAGAACCAAAAAATATTTATTTTGGAAGAGTAGAAATGAAAATGTTAAAAACCAACTACTTATTTCGCCATGTTGTGACAGCGTAATAAAATTAGCAGCATTTTCTTAATAACAACGTAATCTAATAAAAACCACGATTGCCACCCAACATATCATACCAACATGGTTTGAGAAGTCTAGTCTAGTAAATAAGTAAAAATTATATTATAAATAACAGCTACGTACCTCTTGACCCTCCAAATTGCAAGCATGACTGTTAAACCGCATCAATTTGACAGTCTTATCGTTGGAACCGGTCGCCAGTAGATCACCAGCGGGGCTCCATGCGAGGCAGTAAATGCTCCCTTTATGATGCTTCGTACGCTTCAGGAGCACAGTTGGAGCTGTTGGAGCACTGTTTTCCCTATTGAAAAAATATACGTTATTTAATATACATTTAATAACAGTAATTTATCCAGTGGTGAAACAAGAAAATATTTTTGAAAGAAAACAAAACCCTTAATTAAAAAACCTCAAATATAAAAAATTAAAATGAAAGCTTGTTTAAATACATATCAAGTGCCTCATCAGTTAAGTGGTCCAGTTCAATTATCTCTAGTTCTCGTCACCACAAGAGACATAACTTCGTATAGTTGTTACAATAAAATGACTGATTTTTAAAAACATAATTTAAAAACAGCATTGCTCAATTACAATTGTACTTAAGCAGATTGCTATATTTTCCATTAATTTAAACACACTCAAAACAATAACAGAAACACACTCCACATTCACTTGAAGCGCACACTTTAGTTGTTAACATTTGGCATCGCAGACTTTCACTTTCAAGTAAAAGATACACAGTTGTTACGAGCGTCGGGAATAAGCACATTTTGTAGTTTCATAGATTCATATGACTTATGATAGTAAGCCAAGATAATGCTCGCACGCACACAATCGTTAAAACAAACAGCACTGTTATTTCGAGTAATATCAATTTTCTATTATATAGAATATTATTCACCATTTATTGCCTATATTTAGATCTCCAAGCCTTGATTATAAGTTGTAGTACCTACAAATTTAGTTTCAATATTGTATGCGCGTTATAAACCAAAAATATTATTGGAATAATACAATCTATAGATGTTTAATATTTATATGAACAATTCGTATAATCTACGAGTCATACAATATTCAATTGTAGGCATATAATATTCAATCGTTTTTGAGAAAAAGAACATCAATAAGTAATTTCATGTTAAAATTACACAAATATAATTAAATAAATCACAATACAATACTTATTCTAACACATTTTTGTACGTGGTAGAGTCACGCCGCAGCTATAATCCTATACCTTTAAACGAGCAATTCTTGAAAAAAAAATATATATATATATGTATAATAGGAATCTCGGAAACAGCTCCAACAATTTTATAAAATTTTGTGTCCAGGGAATTTCGGGGGCAATAAATCGATCTAGCTAGGATTTATTTTTAGAAAATGTCTTTTTGTCCGTGTTTTCAGGCAATGATAAACTGCTACAATATAAAAAGGTAAATTTTTCGTAATCGAAATCCGTCAAGTCGTATAGGGTACAGGTGTGACGAAAGAACAGGCTAGCAAACAAACAAACAATTACAATCGTATAGACACCAGAAAAAATGGAATGTCTTAAATTAAGCCGAATAGAAATGCATTCAAGCCACACCCGAAACTAGAAATGAAATGAAATTTATTTATTTCTTGGACGTAAGAAAACAAATTTCGTTTGTCACGTCTTTTTTTTTAAACCTACTACAATACAGAGGTTCCTCTGACCGGAGAAGAAACGGCGAAAGGAACGCCGCAAGTATTATCTTTTTTTAAGTTAATGTTACATAATATACAGAATGGAAAACGACAACACATCTAACGGTAACTGAAGTATGTTCTATAACATACACAAAAAAGGCGATTAAAAATTTGGAGCTTATCAGCGTATTGCGAACCCGAGCGACCAGCCCCCTACAAGCAAGCACAAGAAAGATTTTGAAAGATAATATTTATTGTTTACAAGCAGGTTATAAGTTATAACTTATAACGAATAGCTAAAGATGTTTGCAAGTTAGTAAGTAGGGAAATGATGTGAAAAAAATTGAAAAGCAAAGTTAAACATTCTGTAGGGTCTGAACAGTCTGCCTCGTTGGTCTAGTGGTTGTAGTAGTGCGACTGCTGATCATGAGGTCCTGGGTTCGAATCGCGGGTCGGGCCAAAAATCAATTATTGAGTTTTTCTGTCAAGAAATTCTCAGTAGTTGCTCGTAGTCAGGAAGTTGGCGGTGTCTCACCCCCGTGCCTCGGAAAGCACGTAAAGCCGTTGGTCCTACGCCTGATCTCTCTCCGGTCGTGTCGGTTTACCGTCCCATCGAATTATGAGAGTGAGGAAAGAGAGAGTGCACCTGTTCTTGCGCATACACTTGGGCACTATAATCCTGTCCTGCGCCGATGGCTAGCCTCCGTTGAGGCAGGCCGCCGTGGCCAAAATTCGGTCGGGAGGACATTATTAGTATCTCAACAAATATTTTGAAAAGAAAATAAGTACTAACAATTATTATAATATGTAAGTAAAAATATAGCATACATACATACATACATAAACCCTCACGCCTGTCACCCAGAGGGGTAGGCAGAGACTACAGACTTCCATTTGGCACGATCCTGACACACCTCTCTCGCCTCCTTCACATCCATACACCTACGCATACACGCTCGTCGGTTAAGGGTACTCCTAATTTGGCCCGTTTTCAAAAAATCGCTAATTTGGTCGATAAATTTTCGCCTAGGACGTGCCTTTCCGACTCTACCATCTAACACTTCTGCAACATAAATTTTCTTTGTCACTCTTTCCTCATTCATTCTTTCCACATGACCAAACCACCGAAGCATTCCTTTCTTAATCCTGGTCAAAACATCATCTTGCAAACCACACACTTCTCTTATTACACAATTTCTTACCCTGTCATTCAGATTCAGCCCTAACATACTCCTTAACGACCGCATTTCTACAGCGTTTATTCTACTCTCGTGCTTCTTCTGCCACACCCAACTTTCACTACCATACGTTAAAGTAGGGACCAACACAGCATTGTGAATTGCCATACGTGCCTTTTTCGATACATTTTGACTCTTCACAATAGAGTGTAGGGCCCCATTTACTCTATTTCCCGCATTCACTCCCCATCTATTCTTATTTCACAAATCGTTTTACTTTCTTCTCTTTCAAAAACCATAACCTTCGTCTTACTTGCGTTTACTTTCATACCCCTTTCTTTTAATGATCTGTTCATTAATGTAACCATCATTTGCAACTCGGCCGCCGACGACGCAAGAATAACTTGATCATCGGCGTACAAAAGGCATTTGACGGTTAACTCACCCATTCTTAATCCGCATTATTCAACTTTCAAATTTTGCAAACAACTGTCCATAAATAGGTTGAACAGCCACGGGGAAGCCACACAGCCCTGTCTGACACCTTTATGGATGTCAAACCAGTCCGAGTAGACCCCGTTGATCCTAACACAAGCACTGGAGTCCCTATAAAGAGACTCCAATGCCTGTATCAAGCCAGCGCTCAACCCAAATGAGTTCAGTGTTTGCCATAGCACATCCCTATCCACTCTGTCATTAGGCCCTTTCCAAGTCCATGAACGCACAAAAAGCCTTTTGGTTTTTGGCCAAAAACTTCTCCGCGATCATGCGCATGGAAAAAGACTTGATCTGTACTGTAAAAATATAGCAGTGTAATAAATTTCAATGTAAACGGGGTCAGTCTGTACACGGAATAACAAACGCTTCATACATACATAATATATACAAATTAACCCCGGTCATTGGCTTCACTCGGTCCTTAGTCGCCTTCGCGTCACTTATTAGTATTGCAATAGGATTTAAATCACTAACCATGATCGAGACATGAATAGCAAACACGAGTGGAGTATCTCACAGGATACGAACACACGGGCATCTCGTAACATAACACGTATGAACGTGTCAACATTTGTTTTTGTAAATTTTGTGTAGTATTTCAAATACTTACTTGTACTTAAACATTTTAATAGTCATAATGAATCTGAACGTAAACTGAGATTAATATTTTAATTTCACAAATTAAATCTCCCGTTTTCATTTATATCATCATTGAATCCTATCAAAATTCCACCATCCCTCACTTCACCCCTCCCAAAGACCGCCACAAAACAACAAATATATACTACATAGTACAGTGTACAGCGTACACTCAAATAATAACCCAACATGTGTTTTTGGTTATTACATCAATGTTGGTATGTCTCTTAAAAAAATTAAGGATTAAGGTTAGTGTCATTCATTCATATGCAGTGAATAATTATGATCTATCTATAGCTCCATCGGGGCAGAAAAATAGCTTTTTTTTTTTCAAGTGGCTGCCTCATATTGACAAGCGCAATGTTGCAAGAGTTTTGTAAGATCTTCCACAGACCGAGGGACAAACTGATGAAACATACAGAAAATCGACGGATGCAGTTGGCTAAGACCCAAGCTTTGATGCATTCTAAAATGGAAGCCTATATTCAGAATTGAATTAGTACGAGTAATAGACTGTCATGATGATGTGATGGGGAGGCCCATATTCAGGAATAAATTAGTAGTAAAATACAATGATGTTACTGAGCTCCAGGTGCACATTAACAACAAATCTAAGGTATCCCCACTTAGTTGTAAACCATTTTTTCATCAAATTTTTGTGCTTTAGTGTTGCAAGAGCAGCAAAATACTAATCCACATTGATTTATGAAAAGGTACTACTAAAATATCACATAATAGCGATACGACTTAGGGACCTTCAAGAAGAGACCTTTTGCAAATGCCGGCAACGCATCTGCAATTTGCCCCTGGTGTTGCAGTTATCACTTACCATCAGGTGAGCCATATGCTCGTTCCCCCCCCCTCCTATAAAAAAACATAACACGCAAACAGATATTTTATAACAATTCTGGCCATCAATATTCTAATATATTTCATCCATTCTATCTATCGAGAGTAACCACGAAAGCAATTCCGATCGATCTTCGATGGATCTCTAGTCCTGAGTTAGTTAAATATGTTTTAGTCATTGTGTGAGCTAGTAGGGGGTCAACATTGAAATAACATTGGATTGAAATTGTATTGCATGTTGGGTGTTGGATTCAAGAGAAAGCTTATGAATTGGATTTACAAGCTATGTCGTCGCAAAAAAAATCACCAATCCGTAACCTACCGCAGATTCTGTTAAGGCTTAAGGCCCTCTTGTAGTGTGTAGGAATGAAAAATGTTACCTCGCGCCACGTAATTGTAGAGTTAATTAGTACTAGTCGTGGCCATATTTTAATTTTTTTTTTAAATTTTTAGATTTATATAT